GTTTGTGTTTGATTGAGAGCCCCTCTCCTTGTCCAATTACCTAACTCCCATTGTACCAGGAATGGCATAGCCATTATTCTAACCCCCATGGTTAAAAGGCAGATTAAGATATTAACCAAGGCAGGAGGCAAGCTGTGGGCTGTCCACCTAATGATAAAAATTTGCAGCATGATGGTGCGGTTGCGAGTGTGCGTATTTTCCCCCCGAGGTTCATCTTCCATAGTACAAGCTAATTAGACCCATAACTAAAAGACGAAGCTGTTGAAATGGTGCAGGCTCTCCAAAAATGCTACATCTGTTTTTCAGGTGCGATTCTCTGCACCCAACTGCGTTGATCCTTACGCCCAATTTCTTTACTAATTAAAGTAAAATCCAGGAAGCCCTTGCTTAGAGAGGAAGCCGGCAATAAATTGGAGCACTTGGAATACCGCATCCATAAAATAATAATAATATTAATAATGTTGAGACCCTAGAAAGAATGCAGGAAAAGAGCAACAAAGCCGATAAGAGGTCTAGAGGCTGAACTGTACGATGAACGATTGAGGGAACTGGGTATGCTCTAGTCTAACAAAGAGAAGGATTAGGGGTGATATGTTAGCAGTCTTGCAGTATTTGAGGGGCCGTGACAGCAATGAGAGGGTCAACCTATTCTCCAAAGAGGGCAGGACAAGAAGCAACGGATGGAAATTAATCGAGGAGAGAAGCAACCTGGAATTAAGGAGAAACTTCCTAAAAATTAGAACAATTAATCGAGGAGAGAAGCAACCTGGAATTAAGGAGAAATTTCCTAAAAATTAGAACAATTAACCAGTGGAACGCCTTGCCTCCAGAAATTGTGGGTTTTTAAGAAGAGATTGGACAGCCATTTGTCCGGAATGATATAGGGTCTCCTGCCTTGAGCAGGGGGTTGGGCTAGAAGACCTCCAAGGTCCCTTCCATCCCTGTTATTCTATGTTTTAAGTTCTGAAAGCGGTGGTGGGGGGGGGAAGGAAAAGGGCAAAAGAAAGAGCAACTGTGAAGCACAAACACTACATATCTCTTGAGAACATTTTGTGCAATCCATTGTGTTTGTTTGCACCCTGGATGCCATCTGGATTTTATGCAATTATTCCGGGCTATTTTAAGTGTAATGGCTGCGGATAAAATCAGCCGTGCAACTTTTCTTCTGCAGCTAAGATGAGGGGCTATGCTTGAGAAAGGAAAGGGATAAATTATTTCAAAGCTGGGAAGAGAGCTGCAAATAGGTTTTGTTCTCAATATTTTTTTGGCTCCCAGGGGGAAATAATGCCTTCTCAATACTACTACTTCATGTTTAAAAATTAACTTGGTTAGCAGGTGAATCTGACTCTAATGCTAGTCATGAGCAAGGCGTATTCTCTGCAGTTCTTAAAAAGCACAGGACTGTGGGCCCCCAACCCAGCCACCACTTCATTTATCCAGTCCTGGTTAGAGGGAACTCTTGTTTTTCATTCAGAGAAAGCATGAAGCAATTTCAACAAGAAGCAAGTGGATTTCGGCACGCGAAACTTCAAAAAACTGTCCAGTTCCCATTTCCTTGGAATCTCTTCTCCACAGGCTTTCCATTGTTCAAAAGAAGTCAAAACAGGACAGCTGATGGAAAGAGAGCTGGGATACATGAGTATACGGTAAGTGTAGTAAGACCACACCCAGAGCCGTGCATCCAGTTTTGGTCACCACGTTACAAAGAAGATGTTGAGACTTTAGAAAAAGCGCAGAGAAGAGCAACTGAGATGAGCAAAGGCCCGGAGACTAAAACATGCAAAGAACGGTTACAGGATTTTGGTATGGCTAGTTTAGAGAAAAGAAGGAATAGGGGAGACACGACAGCAGTCTTCCAGGATCTGAGGGGCTGCCGCAAAGAAGAGGGGGGGGGGGTTTGACTTATTTTCCAAAGCACCAGAGGGCAGGACAAGAAACAATGGATGGAAACTAATCAAGGAGAGAAGCAACCTAGAATTAAGGAGAAACTTCCTTCAGACGTTGTGGGTACTTCATCTCTGGAGGTTTTTAAGAAGAGACTGGGCAGCCACTTGTCTGAAATGGTCGAGGGTCTCCTGCTTGAGCAGGGGGCTGGACTAGAAGGCCTCCGAGGTCCCTTCCAGCTCTATTCTGACAGTGTTGGCAAGCTCTTGGAGAAATCAACAGGAACCCAGATTCAGCACCATGGAGAGCGACAACAGCCCAGACCCAATTGACCTGATTCTACAGTATAGTCCTGCTGGAGGAGACCTCTAGGTGCTCCCCAAAACAAACCTTACGTATTTATTTCAGGCCCAGTACCCTGTGGTTGACTGGTTCTAGGTGCTATAAGCAGAAATCAAACCAAGTTGGCTTACACATTTTGCAAGCTACTGGGTATCCCTAAACCCGTTTCACCCCCTTCCTCTGATAGGGGAAGTTACGATCTTTTGAATAGATTGAACAATAGACTTTGAACTTGGTCCTTGCGCATGCTTCCTCCGGACAAGGAGAGGCATATTCACACTCGCCAAAATGCACCTGTGCGAGTGCCCGCGCCACTTCCTTCCTCTGAAGTGGCCAGGGAATCATTACAGCGTCTCTAATTTTCTGCCAGAGAACTGTGTGTTTTATCGTTCTCCTCGCGCAACTCTGGGGGGGGTGGGGGGGGGAAACGCTCGATGCTGCCATCTGAAGTGTCTATTTTTAAGATGCCTCTTGGCACTTATTTTTACATGCTGCCTCTCTCTATCCTCTCCCCTCGCCAATTATCGGCTTCGCAACATAGGCCGAGGCGGAGGATAAACAACTTTTGGGATGTGAGATGGAGGAGGAAGAGGAGGGAGACTATTCCATTCCATTCCATTCCATTCTTCATTTTTCTATTCTATTCTATTCTATTCTATTCTATTCTATTCTATTCTATTCTATATTCTATTCTATATTCTATTCTATATTCTATTCTACATTCTATTCTTCTTTCCATATTCTATTCTATTCTATTCTATTCTATATTCTATTCTATATTCTATTCTATATTCTATTCTACATTCTATTCTTCTTTCCATATTCTATTCTATTCTATTCTATTATTCTATTCTATATTCTATTCTTCTTTCCATATTCTATTCTATTCTATTCTATTCTATTCTATTCTATTCTATTCTATTCCATTTCTATTGCTAAGTGAGACATTTGTTAAGTGAGTTTTGCCCCATTTTACAGTTTTTCTTTCCACAACTGTTAAGTTAGCGACACGGCTGTTAAGGGAATTTGGCTTCCCCGTTGCCTTTGCTTGTCCGAAGGTCGGAAAAAGGGGATCACATAACCCCGGGGACACTGCAACCGTCCTAAATATGAGTCAGTTGCCAAGGGTCCGAATTTTGATCACGTGACCCTGGGGAGGCTGCAACCGTCGTGTGAAAAACAGCCATTTTTCTTTCAATGCTGTTGTTGTAACTTTGAATGGCTGCTAAATGAAATGTTGTACGTGGAGGACTACCCGGTAGTTGCGTCCCTCCCCTTGTACTTCCATGGACACTTCTGAAAAGCCCATGAGGTGGGTCCAGCCCCTCAACCCACCTCAGCTAGCATCAACGTGGACTAACGGCAGCCGCACTCTTATTACTATGTTTTTGCAAATCTCCCAGAGCTACTGCTTGCGCCAGAAATAAATCTCAAATGCAAAAAAGTTGCAAGTCAGAGGCAGAGGTAGAGTTGGGTGTCTTGTGTAGACCGGGCACAGCCTCCACCCCTTCCTCATCCCTTCTTATGAACTGCCTTTTTTTCTCTCTTCCCTCGCTGTCCCCTGCCGGCCACCAACCTCCCCTTCATCAGCCCGCCAGTCTCGGTCTCCTTCCCCCATCAAGAGGAGACACACAGCAGGAACGCCAAGGAAGAGATCAGCGGTGGGCCTGGCTGGATGGGAACTGTGTGTAGCCAGCAACTCGAAGGGGTGGGGAGAAGCAGCAGCAGCAGCAGCAAAGGATTGGATGCCTGCAGGAGAATTCAGTGTAGCTGCCTCTAAACGGCCACACGCTGCACCGCGATCAGAGCCGGCTCAGAACAGGGGAAGGAGCCATCCGCTCTGTCAGGGAGCCTTCCTGCGTCTGGACAGCACAAAACATCACAAAACAGAAGGAGGGGGAAATGACAAGTTCAAGGATTGAACTTTGCCAAGACAGCTGACAGCGAGGACAATCAAAGTGGAACAGCTTGCCCCCAGAAATCGTGGGCGCTCCATCACTGGAGATTTTTAAGAAGAGACTGGACAGTCACCTGTCTGAGACGGTGTAGGTTCTCCTGCTTGAGCAAGGGGCTGGACTAGAAGACCTCCAAGGTCCCTTCCAGATTCTATTCTATTCTATTCTATTCTATTTCTATTATATTCTATTCTATTCTTCATTCCCATATTCTATTCTATTCTATTCTATTCTATTCTATTCTATTCTATTCTATTCTATTCTATTCTATTCTATACATGGACCCAATGCAACCTGCCCTGGAGACTTGAAGAGTGCTGAAGGAGGACTGGTGTGGTGTGGAACTTCAGGAAAATTGGGCATTTAGCTGGAAACTCCAGCCCACCAGGTGGAACCGGAGGATGGTACACGTGCCCGTCTCCTTTCCTTGCAAATTCCACACCGGCCAGCTCTTTTTGGACCAAGAACTCCAGTAGGCAAACCTGGGGAACTGTCTGCCCGCTGGAAAAGTTCATCCCGTCTCTTGGAAGGTCTTCTCCATCTCATCCCGTTCCATGTGAGGCAACCACCGGATCCCTGAAGGACATGTAAGAACGTCCTTCTCAGACTGCTCCCGAGGCCACCTCCATCCAGTCTCCTGTTTCCCGGAAGTGGCGACCACTTTGGGAAATCCCACCTCAGCCACTATCTCCTCACCTAACTGGGAAGACTGAGCGGGGTCTTCATTTCGGAGGACAGGAAAAGGAAGAGGAATTAAGGCAAAGGGGAACTGGACGAAGGGAAGGGGAAAAGGGGACACCTGGTCTGATCTTCCTGAAGATGTCTGATCAGGAGATTGATGACTATGAAGGGGACAACTTCTCTGACACTTCACACACCATCCAAACTCTCCCACCTTACAACATGGAGGACCAGCTCCTGCCCATGGAGCGTCGCAGCACCTGTGGCTGTTGGGCGTGGACTTGCCTGGTGGGGGCAATGAACTTTTTTGCTTTTCTACTGAACTTCCTTCTGATGGCTGCCATCTTTTTGGTGGTCCTTTTGCCCGCCATCGTCGTGGTCTATTTTGGATTCCAGTGTCACTCCCGGGTAAGTATTATACAGCCAATTGAACTTTCTGTTGAGGAAGCTCCCAAACAGAGGAGGGTGTAAGACGTGTCTAGTGGATAGGAGAGGCTTGTCCCTCTGTCCATTCTCAGAGGCATCGTCTGTCTTCAGTTAAATCATCATCATACGTGGTCCTGTGCTTCATCCCATTGAACCCTGATGCATTTATTAGTAGGTGTATCTTCTGCCTTTCATCCATGACCTCAAGGAGATGTGGACAGTACTTTCTTCTCCTATTGTTCAACACAGGAATGATGAAGTAGGTTGAGCTGAGAGAGTGATAGTCTAAAGTCAGCTAGGAAGCTTCATAGCTAAGAGACAGAACTGAAGTTGGAGTTGCTCAGTCCTTGCCCAACCCCTTAATCACTCTGCCCTCCTGGGATATGTGGTCCTTCACTGGATGACAAGCATCATAAGGTAGCTTCAATACAACCGATGCGTCACACTCGTTCTGCTAAATGGGACTTGACCCATAAAGTCCTATCCCAATGGCACCGTCGCCTGTAGTCTTACTTCCATGTATACCCAAGTTGACCCTTGTTAAGGAAAGCGGGGTAGAGGCCAGCCAACATGCTCCCTTGAGTATCAGGGAGTTCCTTTGTTAAGATTCATTTCATTGTGAAAAGGAAGAATATTGATGGTTGACATACCGTTGATGGGGCATGATGCTATTACAGAGGACGATAATTGTCATGGGCAACTGTTATTCCTTGCTATAATCTTTACTCCTTTAATCTTTGTGAGACTTCTCTTCTGAGAGGATACTTAATATATGAGTGCTAATGTGTGTATTTGGACAACCATAAATGAATGTGCAAATACTCTTCTTAAATAGAAGTCAGACTTGAGCAAGGATCTTAGTCTTAAGGTCCTTAGACTAAGATCCTAAGACTAAGATCCTTAGACTTAGTCTTTGGAGGTTATCTGGACCTCAAAGTATTAACCCAGTGAGCAAAGTCCCGTCCTCTTCTCAACTGCTTGTTCCTTCTCTGAATAACCCGTTACAAAAAGTAACAGGTTGAAGATCATTAAAGGGAGAAGCAACCTAGAACGAAGGAGAAACTTCCTGACAGTAAGAACAATTAACCAACGGAACAGCTTGCCATCAGGAGTTGTGGGTGCTCCATCACTGGGGGATTTTAAGAAGAGATTATACAGCGATTTGTCTGGAATGGTAGAGGGTCTCCTGTTTGGGCAGGGGGTTGGACTAGAAGACCTCCAAGGTCCCTTCTAACCCTGTTTATTCTATGTTCTACAAATACAAAAGTACCTCCAGGTTGCTCTCCTTCTGCCTGCAAGGTAGGGAAATGCATCTGTTGGAAAGCTAATAGCTACCAGACATTAACACCCCCAGAGAGGGGCCGATGGAGCTTACAGCATCTGTTTCTCAATTTCCCAAATATGAGGTATCTAGCATTCTTAGCAAGCATAGCCGTCACCCTATCTTGGCAGCATCCTACTCCAGTTAAGAGGATGAGAAACAGGGCAGTGTACGTTAATCTTGAGAAGAGTCCATGGCTTTTTTTGTTCATTGACTTTCCAAATCCCATCCTGTTTAAAAAGCCAACTTGATCCGGATTGTTTTCGGCACTTGCAGTGGGATCCGTTTCAATCTGCTGAGAGTTGCTCCAGGTGCCTCTAAACATGACATTCTACACCTATGTAGCTGGCTACTCACAACGTAGTCATCTAAGCAAAGGTAGGGGTAACTAGCTTGTGATTCAGCACATTATGAGAACATAGGCTTTAGTTTCTTCTCTTCTGACCTAGCCTCTCACATCCAACCACACGGGCTTCCTTTTCACAGACACTAGATACCACGTGAAGTTAGGAACTGTAAAAGCTGCAGCGTGGGAAGGATTCCAGAAACTCCGGGCTCATTTCCAATTATTGTGAAAAGTGGATAAATACTAGGAAGCGCCAGGGTTTGGTTCGGAGGTGGTCAGCCGGTTCGGTTTAGCTATCCAGGAAAAGGTGATCAGCCCAGCAACTTTGATATTGTCAGGGGCAAAAAATCAGCCCCCCCAAAAAAGAGGGTAAAAATACAGCAAATCAGGAGGCCAACCGTGTAGCCTGAAGACCATTTAGGAGCTTCAAAGAGTCATTTTGCCCGCCCATCTTGTTCAACGCAGACACTGCAAAGCAAGATGTAAAACTGTTTTCCTCACTTGAAGCTATAATTACACTCTGAGTCTATTTAGAGTAGAAACATGACTTCTGGCAGTTTTATGGATAAATCTGCGCAGGATTTTTTTTTCTCCCCCCCTTTCCTTTCCTTTTTTTTTCTTCTCGACTTCTTGGTTTACCACATTCCTCTTCTCTGGGATGCTTTCCAGTCTAGCCAACAGCTGTGGGGTCTCCCGTTCAAGTGACTTTCTTTAGCAAATAAGGTTTCAGAGATGGGTGTCATCTGTTCAAGAATTCTAAGGGTTTGGATATTTTTCTCCCAAGAACTAGTTGACATCTGCTTCTTTGCCATCTCTGTTCTTTCACTCTAGTGTTAACCTCCTGGAATCTTAAGAAATACGTATACTCTGTAAATGAATAAAGAAACATTTGGGCTAACCTCCAGCTTAACAAATCTGCAAATGAGAAGGAATGAAAACCAGGCCTTGGAAGGTGGACTAAGAATCCACCAAACAACAAGAAGCACAAGGATCCAGGAGAAAAGTTGAACTTATTATACACAAATAATTGTGTGTCTCATCAAGGCCTCTTGTCACTCAAAAAGCTTCCACTAATGTATTGTGTGAGTCAGTTCTGGGTAAAATGGATTGTAAGAACAGTCTGCCTGTACTGCTAAGGAAAAACAGGGTTGTGTTATCAGTTTTGGGGAAGGAAACAGAGCAGGAAGAGCAGAGAGGAATTCGAGTTATTGCGCTATGCATCTCTTTAAAAAAATACACACCGATCTAAATTTCCTTTTCAGTAATTACGAAACTTCTGGCACAATCTAAATAAATTCCAGATCTTCAGTGACAGGAACTTTATCTCCAGCCTTGGCTCCCCAGAATGTTCATTTAATTGTTAACAGTATTTCTTTTCCTGGCATGCTCCTCTTTTTTCTTCCATCCTCCCCTCCTGTAAACCTTAGCTTTTGTCTGTTATTTGCCGGCACAGACTGAATTCCATTTAATGTCTTTTTAATTAAGGGTGCCCCTCCTCCCACCGCCACAGTCAGTCTCCAGGATTTGTGTGCTAAATTAAAGATAGAAAAAAGATGGGGCAGTCAAAAAAAAAACAAAAAACCAAGAGGGATAAAAATTTCTGAATCAATTCTATCCATGAGTTCAGTGTGGAGATTTCGGCTCAGACAGTCCTAAGCAACCCTTGATTCATTCCGATTGACAAACTCATTTTGTTCTTATTAAGTATTCTGCAGTGCGCGTGCCGTTAGGGACAAATGTACTCAAAACACATTTCATCTGGCCTCTCTCCTTTGGATGCCTAGGAAGTTTGAGCTTTATCTACCCTGCTTGCAGAAGTTTCGCCCCCCGCCCCCCCAAAAAACGGCTTTTCCTGAATCAGGAATTTGGAAAAATGCAGTGGGGAGGATCAGGAAGGGCACCGAAAAAACCTAGGAGAGACGGGAGAAGGTGCTTTGGATCTCTGGGGCTGAATCACACTGAGGAGGATATAATAATAATAATAATAATAATAATAATAATAATAATAATAATAATAATAATAATAATAATAATAATAATAATAATAATAATAATAATAATAATAATAAAGTTGGAAGGGACCTTGGAGGTCATCTAGTCCAACCCCCTGCTCAGGCAGGAAACCCTATACCATTTCAGACAAATGGCTGTCCCTTTGGCCTTTTATAAAAAAAAAGGCCCGTTCCAACGAGGAGAACCCATTCGGTGAGATCCGATGGGACAAGTGGATGAAACCCTTGGCTTTCTCTGGCTCCCAGTGACTTTTCAATTGATTGACGAGCAGGAGCCCCAGTGGAAGTTCAAACCAGCTTAATTAAAGGGGGCTATTAAAATACTGAATCAATCCTGGATAGCGACTTTGTTCTCTAAATGACCTCTCTGGAATCAATGGCAACAGTGCTGCAAACCAGCGGGCTCCACGGCCCTCCAAGCCTAGCCCCCCCCCCGTTTGAGATGAGTAGCAAATGGAACCTATCCTATCTACCCAACCCCCCAGGAGACGCCATATGGTTATTTTCCTTTCTGTAGTGGCAAGCAGATCATCAAAGAAGTAAATGACACCTTTGGGTATTTTCAAGGGGATTGTTAGCTAATGACTCCCCAGAATCTGACAGCTTTTGAGGCTGGGATGGGATGGGATGGGATGGAACCAGGCACTGAATATTGGTCATGTTATGCAAGCAGGACATTCTCTGTAAAGTCATTCAGATGGGACACCGGGGAATGCAAAGCCGAGGCACGCTCACTTCCCCATTACTCAGCTGACGGTTCCTTGGCCAACTGTGTTTGCCCACATTTGCTAGAACCCCCAGTTACTTTTAGCAGACTGTTGGAAGGTGAAAGAGACCCTTCCAGGATGGGGATGTTCCTCCAGGTGCTGTGGAACTACAACTCCCAGCATCCTTCTTCCCGAGGGCCATTCCTACGTCAGCCCTAGGCAGATGTTTTTTACAGAATAACAGAGCTGGAAGGGACCTTGGAGGTCTTCTCGTCTCAAACAGAAGGCCTTATGCCATTCTGGACAATGGCTGTCCAATCCCTTCTTAAAACTGTACAACTTCCAGAGGCAAGTTGTTCCACTGGTTAATTCTTCTGTCAGGAAATTTCTCCTTAGTTCCAAGTTGCTTTTCTCCTGGATTCGTTTCCATCTGTTGCTTCCTGTCCTGCCTTCAGGTGCTTTAGAGAAGACATTGACACCCCCCCCTCTTCTTTGTGGCGGCCCCTCAAATATTGGAACACTGCTATCGTCATCCCTACTCCTTCTCATCACTAGCCTTGGCAAACTCAATTCCTACAACTGTTCATCATAGCCTCCAGACCCCTCATCATCTTTGTTTCTCTTCTCTGCACTCTTTCTAGAGTCTCAATATCATTTTTGTATCTTGGTGACCAGAACTGGACACAGTATTCCAAGTGTGTGGTCAATCCAATCCAGTCCCAAGGAATGAGTAGCCAGGTTCAGCTACAAAGCAGCCACAGCCAGCTCAGTTTGAAGTCCCTTTTTCTCCTCAAAGGGCCAAATGATATATCTGTGGTGTCCCTTCATCGGCTCACCTCTGAGCAAATAGGTTCAACTGGTTTTCCAGCTGTCACCAAAACCCCTTGCCTCTGTTTGCTCATGGACAAGAATCCCAAGGCTGTAAATCTTCAGAGGCTCCCGTTTCTTAAGAGCAACAGGCTGGGAACTTCGGAAGCAGCTGATGGTTTAATTTCCCCGGTTCTCTCTCTTTCCACCACCTCGCATCCCTGCAGAAATTAGTGCAGACACTTCCTTAATGTGGGCAGGCGGTTCAGCTCATCTCCCTGGAGTTGTTTATGACTATTTATTACCGCATATTAAACAACAATCGAACTCTCCTGGGCATTATAGGCCCTAATTACCTGCCATACGACTGCAGGAAATTCCCACCATTTTATCACAGTTCTAAAAACTGCTGTGAGAAGATAAGTAGCAGAAGAAGCAAAGCAACAGAAGCCCGTTAGGGGTTGGAACCTTACAAGACAACTTGGAATTTCGGGGTGAGATTTAGCTTAGAGCAGTGGTTCTCAACCTGTGGGTCGGGACCCCATTTGGGGTCGATCGACCATTTCATGGGGGTCACCAAGCAAGGCTGTCCGCCATTTTTTTGTCCGCCATTTTTTTTTGTCCGCCATTTTTCCCCCTTTTCCGGCAGGTGCCTTACCTCCCTTGGGCTGGGCCAGCTGGTGGTCGGCCTGCTCCGTCTCTGCCGCTTGCCAGCTACGCCTCGGCCGGCGCAGGGGGCGGAACCACGCATGTGTGGCGCTCCCGGGCAGGGAAAGTCCTCGACTTACGACCAGTTTAGTCCTCGACTTACGGCCGGTTTAGTCCTCGACTCACGACCGGTTGGGGTCACGGCATTAAAAAGGTTGAGAACCACTGGCTTAGAGAGTAGGCCATTAAAGGAGAAGGCAGGAGGACTGAGACACAGAGGAATAAGAATGTAGGGAGGGTGGAGTTAGAAGTTTTGCAAACCTTTAGGTCTTTTGACAAATATTGCTAAATTATTGGAGATGTCAACTATGGCAAAAGTATTTCTTCAGCTCTTCCCCTTTCCAGCTACCTAAAGTGGCAGCCATGACATCTTGTGGCAGTGAGTTCCACTGTTGAATCACATGTAAACTCATTGCCACAGGGAAGAGGAAGGGCAGAGTGTGGGTCTGCAGGGTGGGTTCCCCACAGGGACAGCAAGCTTGCTGTACGCATTTCAAATTATTTGTGTCCTTAGCAAAGCAACAGCCATCCTACCAAAGTCAAACTATAAGTCTGCTTAATACGAATCCAGACTTTTTGACTGCTGACAGATATCAAAATATCTGCTTTGCCATCTGGGCCTGACAACTACAGCTACTAAATTCGTCTCGTGTCAATACGCACGGCTGACCTTCTTTCCTGCAAGATGGATCTTCTTTGGCCTGGAACACCTCTCTCTCTCTCTGGCTGCTGGAGATTTTATTCTTCGCAAGCCGTACTTCTTCTGTGTCCAATATTCCTCCTGAAAAGCATCAAGAGAGGGGGGGAAATGAAATTTAATGCCCTGCTTTTTTCCATTAACTCAAGGGTTTCACATTTCTTTTGCCATTTATACTATCCCTTCCCCAAAAGATGATAAACATTTGAATCGAAGGCACACGTCTTAGGTACAGAGGCAGAAGCAGAAATAACGCCTCTCGCTGGAGGTGAGAGAAATAAATTGCACCTTGGCATAACAGGGAATATTGAAAAGGTGAAATGGCTCACCGCGTTTATACCTTGATGGCTTGGGCCCATGGATTATTATTTAATCCCTGAGCTAGCATCTAGGTATCTATAGAAAGCTGAAAAATCAGGGGCCTATCCCCAAAAGGTAGAAAATATATGACACGTAATCAAAAGGTCCGTATCGCTCAAAACGAACAACGGCTCAAACCAGGTAGGGCTTTACAGGTGACTGCCAATGCCTTGAATTAAGCCAAAGCACCTCACACAATGCGCAGGTTGTTTTACTAAGCCAACTAACATGGATCAGTAAGCAAGCAGGCTGAAAGAGCAACCTTGGGGCAAAGATACCATCACAGTGCAGTGCCGGGGTTTGTGCAGTGCACTGTTTCAATGTGGTTCAACGCTCCGACAGAATCTGAAGCCTCACGCTTTGCAGCAAAGCCCCCCCCCCCAGTGTTTCATTCTGATTTTCTCCCTCCCCCCCCAACCTCTCTTTTCGCTCTCCTGTTTTCCTTTCGGCAACGCAAAAATCAATTGCCGCCAAATGGGCAACCTAACATGACAGGGAGTGGATTGGATTGGACTGGAACTCTCCATAAATGTAAATAAAATTGAATCAAGATTGCTTTTGCTCGGGCTCCCCGAGGCCTCGGCACAGGCTTTCATCTTAGAAAACACGATTCCAGCCTCGATCGGCGGAAGAAAATCAATCTGGGCCGGCTTTTCTATAGATCGATTCGATAAATATAGGTTCCCTCCGGATGTAGGATCAGAAAAGCTAAAATGTTGGGGTGGGGGGGGAGAAGCTTCCTGGGGTAGAGAGGGGATCACCGTTGGCTCTGAAGGTCCTCATCTCCAGCCAGACTGCTTTGGGATCCACAGGGTGGGAAAATAGGTCGTAAGCCGAGGACTACCTGTGTTTTACTTTGAATTATTTCCGGCTCACTCAGGGTGCACTGGCGTGATGCTGACAGCCACCCCAATCCCCCTCCCCGGGCGAGCCTTAGAGACAGAGAATCTTTTTGGCGAAGGCTCCTCCATTTTGGAAGAGGCCTCCGTAGTTCATCTCCATAAGCTCTAGCTGTTTCCCGGGCTAGCAAGCCATTTGTTTAAACTAATTTCATTTTATCGGCAGAAGCTTTTAATTAAAGATTTGATTTGCCGTGCGTTCTGAGTTCTCAACCAGGACGTGTGGATTACACCTCCCAGAATTCCTTTGCCAACATGGCCATTGCCAAAAATCCTCCTCCTCCTCCTCCTCCTCCTCCTCCTCATCATCATCATCATCATCATCATCATCTCAAAATGCTAAGCAGGATCAAAATGTTAGTTGCTGGGAAACTAGCAGGGCAAGCCAGAGCTCTAGATGTGTTTTGGGAGGAAGGTAACGGCAAAGCATCAAAATGAACTCAAGGCAGCCTTGGCCTCGGAGAGTACAAATCCCGGATAGGAATTCAGCGGAGGTCTGAGCTTCTCCTTAGAGGAAGAAGAAGGCTGCGGGATCAATCCTGCCACCTCCAGGGACAACTGAGGGTCTTCTGAGTCCATGAGAGTCACGGTGCAGCTCCGAAGCATCGCCCTGTGCAATCCAGAGTAATCCATACCTCCCTGTCTTTCGGTACGGAAAGGACAGATCCCTCTCCCAAGATCCCTGGGGGAATGACCGCTTCCGGGAATCCCACCCACCCACCCACCACCCAACTCGCTTCCTCTGCCCTCTGCAGGTGCTCCACTCGACCGCCTACTACTGCCAGACCATCCTGGACGACAACAGCTCTTCGGCCTTGATCATCCTCGGCTTCGTCATCATGTCTCCCCTCATCGTGGTCTCCATGGCCCTCTACTGCAGCCTGGCCCGCCGCCTGCACCTCTTCCTCTGCTTCCAGCCGTGCGCCCGGGCTGTGTACAAAGGCGTGAAGTGGCGGTGGTACGAAGAAGGGGGGCTGTGCGGGTGCGTGAAGGAGTGGAACCACCACGTCAAGGCGTGGGTCTGAGCTGGGGCCTCCCAGCCTCCGTGCAGTTTGGTTGTTTTCAGTGGGGGCACCAAGGAAGAGCCGTGACGGTAACCCACCACCACTGCTTCTCGTGCTAAGGAGCTAAAGGCCTCCCTGGATTTCAAGGCAACTTACAGATAATCCCATTGGGGTGTGCCTGTATTTGTCATTGTGGGCTGCACAAGGGGCGGGGCCGAAGCAGGGGTGGGTGGGACTAGAGCCCCCAAGTGGGTGGCACTCCTTTTCCACCTAATTCACCTAACCGGTTCGTGTTATGACCTCAAGTCTCTGGTTTGTTTTTTCCCGCCACTTCGCTTCCTTTCGTGATTCACAATTTTTGGTGGGTTTATGGGTCAATGTGTGCCGTAAACCCAGGGAATGGGATTTAATTCGGGATAAGGTAGGATGTCCCCTGGTTGCAACGATCCTCAGTCTCACGCCCTCGTTTGCAGGTTGATGACCGGTCCTTCCTTTCCACGTGTTTTTGAAATGGAGGTAGTTAGTTACCTCTTAAAATGTAGAACGTCAAGCAGCAGTCAGGAGATACATTGAGGTCTCTTAAGGCTCCCTCAAATGGAAAATAACCCAAAGAAGCTCAGTTCCTTCGTTTGCTGAAAAGTATCTGGGAACTTGGCCCTTTGTCTGCTTTAACTGTAGGTGAGTGATGACCAAGGTACCCCAGTTCAGAAATAAGGAAACTTTTGGCCAACCCGTTCAGGAACAAAAGATTCTCTGGCTCATTTTATTTTCTGCGAAAGCAATGCCCTTCTGATTTGGAAAAAAAAAAAAAAGATATCAGAAAGGGGAGATCGCATCGTTCTGGGCTCCAGCTATGCTTCTGGTTAATGGCAGGCACACACAAAAAAAATCTCTGCCCCTAAGAACAGCATGTGGGGGGAGGGGGGAAAGAGAGTTAGCCCCCCTTTTTTTCGATGTAGGCTTTGATCCAAAGCGAGCTTTCGAGTTTTTATTCCGAGGAGCAAGATTTGCCTCGCCCTCGCGCCCTCCGGCAGCTGCAGCAGCTTCCGTGCTTCGCTGTGTAGTGTGCTGAGGCCACAGCTGGCTCCAAACCAAACTTGTTTTCATGGCTTCCAGCGGATTTGATGTGCAGCCCCTGAATGCAGTAAAAAGGCTGGCGCAGCGGCAGCCAGGCAGGGTGCAGGAAAGGCCACCTCTGCGCTCCCAGAGCTTGTAAGCGCATCGCGATTCGGGCTCGGCAGTTGCGTTTCAAAGGGCATCAACGAGGTGTGGTTGAAACCAGGCGAAATGTGACTTGAATCACCGAGCCAGCTGCATTTTTGCTCAACCATCCAGCTGTGTCCCAGTCGATGTCTCGTGGCTATCCTTAAAAATGGGAACGGGGTGCAATTGATAATATTTCTGAAAGTGGTAATTGTTGGGACAGAGAGATATACCCAGTGGTGGGATTCAGCCAGTTTGCACCTGTTTGGCAGAATCGGTAGCTAAATTTTGGCTGAGTTCAGAGAACCGGCTTAATGCATACTGCTTCTGGAAGTCCAGTCTAGGCCTCGGAGGCCTGGATGAAGCCTCCCAAGCCTAGAACGGCCCACCGGAAGTGCATGGATGCCACTTCTGGAAGTCCGTTCTAGGCCTTGGAGGCCTAGAGGAGGCCTCCCAGGCCTAGAACGGTCCACCGGAAGTGCATGGATGCCACTTCTGAAAGTCCGTTCTAGGCCTCAGAGGCCCAGGCCTGCATCCAGTAAGAGAACCGGTTGTTCAGGTATTTGAATCCCACCACTGGATACATCCTGTTAATGCACTGGCTGTGAGCTCCCTGGAGTGGTGTTTCTGGCTACTCTTCTTCCCGTCCTGTGTAACTCTTCCAGCTGCTGTTGTGTATCAATATTTTGGGGACACTACAGACGATGCCCGATGCTCTTCCGCTCTCTAGCTAGACATTAAAGGTTCTTTTAAAATATGCATGTCCACCATCTTGGTCTTTCTTCCGCCTTGCAGGAAATGTGCCTTCTGAACTGCTTAACGCTCCTGGAGGGAACGTGCCACACCTTGCAAGTGTTCTGTGAATGGCCACTGTCAACGCAATCTTTATCACTGCCTCCAACATTCAGCATTTCATTGACTTACAGTATTTAGCTACATTTTTCACCGTCTACCTCCTTAAGTGCCTTCTTTCTCTCTGTCTTGGTTATAATTGTTCTGCTATTCATCTACTGAATTTGGAAAAAATATGTTGCACACATGGAAATACAGGCAGTCCTCGGCTTACAACGGTTCGTTTAGTGAACCATTTGAAATCACAACAGCGTTGAAAAAAGCGACTTATGACCATTTTTCACACTTACGACCATGTTCATGTGATCAAAATTCAGTGACTAGGTAACCGACTCACATTTATGACGGTCGCAGTGTCCCCCGGGGTCACGTGATTCCCCCTTTTGCGATCTTCTGACAAGCAAAGTCAACGGGGGAAGCCGGATTCTCTTACCAACCGTCTTATTAACTTAACAACTGCAGTGATTGACTTAACAGCTGTGGCCGGGAAGTTGGTAAAATGGGACAAAAACTCACTTAACAAATGTCTCACTTAGCAACAGAAACTTTGGGCTCAGTCGTGGTGGTAAGTTGAGGACCACCTGGGCACCTGTTTCCATCTGAGCCCCCAAATTCTGCTCATGTGAGACAGGGAATGAAAGTCCCTCTTTCCCCCCCCCCAGGTCTCAGCGCTGCTTTTTCTAATAAAAATGCAGAAAAACAACGATCCCGGTTAAGGCACATCAGTGGAGATTTAATTTGCTCGTTTTATTTCCTGGAGAGAAGCGTTAATACCGTCGATTGGGAAAAATGGATGTGCCGAACAACAGCTATTAACCTTCAGTCTTGGAGCCAGCTCTTTCAGGGGTGAAATTAAAACAGCTTTCATTTGTTTTCTTGATCGGATAGGAGCGGCCTAAATGTCTTGTTCATGATCGGGCTTTTCATAGATGACTTGTGCTGGCGCTCTCCGATATCGACCCCTGCAACAAGTCGCCTTCGGCAAAATCCTAAATTCCTGGATTTTCTGTTCATTTACCGCCCAGGTTGATCAATTCATTAATTAATTCTGTGGCAGGATGTCGAAGGGGCTTAGGGTATGGCAATAAAAATACCACAATAAGTTAAAGATTTCATTTTTTTTTTAATTAGGGCTGGGAAAGATGCCAGTCCTGAGAACTTGGGCAGCAAAGCTGAAACACGGTTTGCTAGATAAACCACAGCGGAAAGATTCATGGGAAATGGTGTTTGACCTAAAAAGAATCTTCACGGTAAGTTTAGCACGATCCGTGTAAATTACAGGTAGTCCTCGGCTTAGGATGACAAGCGCGCTCAAGATTGCTAAGCGAGACAGTTATTAAGTGGGTTTTGCCCCACTTTGTTCGGAAGTGAATCACTGTTAGTCACACGGTTGTTAAGTGAATCTGGCTTCCCCATTGACTTTGCTCATCAGATGGTCGCAAAGGGGGATCACATGGAGACACTGCGACCGTCATAAATACACACCGAACATGTGAATTTTGATTACGTGACCCATGGGGACGCTGCCACGAATGTTAAGTGTGAAAATAAGTCATAGGTCACTTTTTTCAGCGCTGTTGTAACTTTGCACGGCCACTACCTGAACGGTTGTTAAACTGAGGACTGCGTGTATTGACTACAAAGGGCCTAAAGACGGAGGGAACGATGGATTCTTCAAATCCAAGGGGGGGGTGGGAAATAACTGGAATTACCTGGGTAGAATTCTGCCTCTTTGGGAGGAATCTCCAGGCATACAGCCGGGAATGCAAATCAACTATCTCCCCTGAGTTGGGTTAATGGGGGAAATTATATTTCCATGGTAACGGTATCCTCTCCCGTACCATTCTGTGACAGGAAGTACTCCGTATAGCAGGCACAACTGGACAAAACAAGGTTAGCAATTGAGCCTGGGCTCCGTTGACGATTAAACGGCAGCAATTTCCGGTCCATTTGTGAATCCAGTGCAAATTCAGAAGGCGACAATTTGCTCTAGCTTGCTTAAGGGGGAGGTTAGTATGTTGTGCAGACAACCCAAAGGTGTTAATGGGTTCGGGGAGCCTCACCTGGCTTTGGGGTGAATGGAAGAATGTGACAATAAAGTCTGGTACTTCCCATTCCCATTGGAAGAGGCACCCACTGTATTCTCAGCTGGACCCAAAGGAGGCCCGTTTCTGGTTTACGTTAATTTTGTCCACAAAGCAGGGGGTTGGGATAGATGTCCTCTGAGGAGCCTTCCTATTCTACCATTTAAAGACGCTAAGACTCAAAGCTGGCCGAGTGGGGTGGAAAGAGCAGGGTGCCATCTTTCATATCGGTGCAGCTTTAATCCACATTTTGACACTGCCCAGTGTCCTTCAGCTTTTTTCCACCGCTGCCTATATTTTTTCCTAACCAGCATTTTAATGGAACTGCACAAACAGATGCTCGACACAGCCCAGAAAACCCGGCTGGATTTTATGACAGAGTGAGGCAGCCGTTTATCTTGACACTGGAGAAGAACAAGGAGAAAGACAAAAAGAGGAAAAAATACAAAAGGCTTAGCAACCAAGGAGGGAGGGGGGGTTAATTTAATTTAAATAGATTTCTCTCCCCCCCAAAAAGAAAGGGCCAAAATTGAAAGCTTCTAAGCAGTTTTGATTGTTTGTGGACTCCCTTGTTAATCGCAAACAAGCTTTAAAAAAAAAACTTTGCTTTGCTGACCTACCTCAATTGTAGAACCTGATCTAATTCAAAGCAAGAAAAAACACTTGTGTCTGTTCTCCACAGTGTGCGTGCGCGCGCACACACGCACACACACCAACACACTTATGCAAGATACTTCTTCTGGCACGGAAAAACATTGCGGTGCCCAATGCAGAATCTCTTCCCTTTATGAATACGGCCCCTGCATCACTTCTCGACTGAAACCCAGTCCTTGGCCATTTTTTTTTAAATATATGCCACTGCTGCATTAATTTATATTCCCC